TCTGGCTCGAGAAATCATTTATTGAGAAAAGGAACACTGGAGTTTGGGGAGGAAGATGAGTTCAGACTGGGACAAGTACAGAGTCAGAGTGCCTGCAGGGTATCCAAGAGGAAGCGCTTACTAGGCAGTTCTCCTTATGGGTGGAAATCCCAGGAGAGAAGTCTGGGCGTGTAGATGGTAAGTGGTCCAACAATAATTAGCACATTTCACAGTATACCTAAATCTTTTTACATCTCTTTCATCTGCTTTTTGTCTCTCAGCAGTTATAGGAATGAATTCTATCACTGCAACCAGCAGATGGTTTCTCTTCTAATGCTGACCAACACTTAAAAAACATAAATGTTTTCCTTATTGCCTTGAACTCCACCTTCAGTATGTAAACCCCAAATCCCATCAAAGCAAACTTTGAGGCTGCCAATTTTTTTTTTTTTTAAATGAGCCTATGAAAGTTTTGCAAGAGTCGGACCCAACTTAGCAAGTAAACCACCACATGAAAGTTTCAGGCTTGAATGCAGTTCAGACTCTCTCATCAGGCAGAAAACAGTGGCGAGGGTGGTTAGGAGCTTCATGAGGTTACATAGCTGGGCAGCTGCAGAAATGGCCTAAAATTCAGAACTCTGTACTGACCGAGCATTCTTCTTTTCACTGCTTTCCCCTCCTATTGAGTAGCTGCTGGCTTCAGAGTACCACTTACTAATGATTTGTTTCTTAAGAGACATGGAACAATGCCTACTTTGGTCTCAGAACCCGGAGGGCCAGAAATTTAAGTTTGGTTTTTGAGAATATATTTCTTTCTATGTTTTCTTCATTCTCTCCTTCTCTTCCACTATTTCCTTTCTATCCTCCCTTATTTTAAATTCTTTTTTTTTTAACCCCCCAGGCAGTTGGAGCCTTGGGTGTGGCTGATAACTAATTCCTAAATGTTGCTTATCTAACTTTCAAATTAAACTGTTTCCTTCTCCTGCATGGAGGGCTGATGGTTGAGTCACAAGGTCTCACCTCAGAAGGCTTAACCCTTCCTCCATGCAGCTAGCTAAGTGTCTGGCAGGGGTGGAGATGTGTGCCCTTGTCTTTTCCCCTCAGCTTTATTAAGATAGAATGACATGTAACCTTGTGTAAGGGTAAGGTATACAGTGTGGTGGTTTGGTACATGTGTGTATAGAGTGGTTTTTTATAGAATATTTAGTCTAATGATAAGAATTATCCAAATGAGAATTTTGATTTCTTATAAATGAACTTTAAAACTTCTCAGGGTTCACGGATCTGTTTGACTCACTAATGAAGAAATAACTCAATCACTGTGCTTATGGAGTACAGTTTTACATATAGTTTTAGGAACCCCATAGATTCAAAGTTAAAGAACTCCTATTATATAACTTGGGCTACTCTCAAGGACATATGAACCAGTTTTTCTAGAAAAAAGCTTGAGAATTTCCTCCTTTTCTCCAAAGTACATTTTAAGGGATTGAATAAGAAGTGGTTAACTTCTCAAATGCCTTACAGACAGTTCACATCTGCTGATCCATTAGTCACCATTGACTAATATCCATCTTGGTGACACGCTTGCTGAAAGTTTTATTTTTTTTTTCCCATTTACTTTTATTAGTTGGAGGCTAATTACTTTACAATATTGTAGTGGTTTTTGCCATACATTGATATGAATCAGCCATGGATTTACATGTGTTCCTCATCCCGATCCCCCCCACCTGGAAGTTTTAAAAGGTGGTTGGGTGGTACTGAATTAGAGAGTTAGAAATTTGTTAATGTCTTGGTAGAAATTTTATATCCTCTTAATATTCTTAAAATTAATAACCCTGTTAGGTATTGTTTGAGCCCTCAAAAAAAAAAAAAAAGGACTGTCATTTTGTGGTCAAAGTCAGGGCAGAGAGTAGCCTCTTTTATTGGTGCTAAACTATCTCTGATGTGTCTAGTTAAAAATAAAAGGGAGGAGAAGGCCAAATTGCCGTTGTCACTTTCAACCCTTCCAAAGACAAAAAAGCTTCCCAGGTGGCACTAGTGGTAAAAAATCCTCCTGCCGATGCAGATGATGCAAGAGATGTGGGTTCGATCCTTAGGTTGGGAAGATGCCCTGGAGGAGGAAATGGCACCGCATTCCCCCATTCCAATACTCTTGCCTGGAAAATTCCATGGGCAGAGGAGCCTGGTGGGCTGTAGTCCATGGAGCTGCAAAGAATTGGACATGGCTGAGGGACAGCGTGCACACAAGAGACAAAAAGAACCTGCAGACAGTCCATGCAGGGCTTGTAATACAGTGTCCAGAGCAGGCTCCTGAGCCCCGCCTCCCGGAGCTGGAGATAGAAACATCCTCTCTGCACTGGCTCCTCTCATCCCAACCAGCTCCTCCACTCCCCACTTATCTGAAGTTCACATTCTCTTCATTTCATTTCTCCATTTCTGGGGAAATTTCACCCAGGCTATAATTCCAGCTGCTCGGGATGAATTTCTGGCTAGTCAAGATAAAATTCTTTTCCTAATTCACAAGTTTCTTCTGGGGAGCTTCTAGTGACTAATGGATACCTTTTTGTTAAAAACGTTTTTCTTACCGTTATCTAGAATTCTATGATTTGTGTGCCTTCCCTCCCACCTAGAATGAGAGCCTGCTGAAAGCAGGGGTCTCATCGATCTCACTCACCACGATATTCCTGTAACGCAGGTCAGTGCCCAGTGCCTGCTTCCTGCAGGTGCTCACTAGATATTTGAATGAATCAATGAATGAATATCTTTCCCACAAACTCCTCAAGGGCACTGATGGGGCACGGTGGCAGATACACACAGAATTTTATTAAAAGTGGTCAGCCTGTCAAGCAGAACCCAGGCACTTAGCCTCCTAAGAGCATGGCCTTGTGGTTTGCTTCCACTTTAGAACTTTCTGTGGTCACAGAGAAGCCACACAGAACTTCCTGTGCTCCACTCTGGCCAGTAAGAGAAACGTTCCTTTCTGTCGGAGTCTTCAGCAGAGCAGCCGAGCGGTTTGGCCCTGGAGCCAGACTTCCTAGGTCACATCTTCCTGGCTGTGTTACTGGCAGCTTCCTGTGCCTTTACACGCCCTGGTTGATTCATCTGTAAATTGAGGCCAGCAGTAGCCCTTGTTTGGTAGGGTTATTTTGAGAATTAAATGAGTTGTCATAAGTAGTGTTAAGAACCATTCTAGCACATAGATGCTCAGTTAATGTTGGCAGGATAAATGAGGATGGTAGTAGTTGTGGTGGGGGCAGTGGTTGTATTTGGCCAATAATGTCATAGCGTGAGTTTGTCCTTTGTACTCGGCTTTCACCTAATCCTTCCGTTTCATTACATGTTTCATCATTGCTTTCTTAAAATGTAAGAACTGAGTCATCTCTTAAAAATAAAATTTTAAATGTTCACATTAAGTAATTTTTTAAAAAGATAGCATTTTAAGAAACACACTTTGATTTCTTGTATTAATTATTTATAATTTTATGCAAAGGTTATTGTCACGGGGATACTGAATAGGTTTTTCTGCTCCAGAATCTATACAAAATAAGTTTCATCTCTTTGGAGTGTTTCTATAATACTGTCATTCATATCTGAATCTTCCTCACATATTTTCTAAAGGAAAAGATTAGTACGTTATTACAAAATCAAGCTGAACTGCTCAGTGTGGGAGATATTTCCTTTCAAGTTTATTTCTTTGAATTTTTAAAGACTATTTCACATAGAATTTAATTATGCATCTCTGTCCTTTTTAAAATATGGTGAATTCATAAACTCTAGATTGAAAGTTTCTGTTAGGAAGAATTATTTTTAGGCCAGCCTTAAGAACAGGAGTTGGGAGGAGGGGATGGTGAGAGAACAAAAAGAAAAGCTTTCAATTATAATCCACACCCTTACTTAGTTGAAGACTTTCATAGTAATCCGGGCCGAGAGGGAAACTACAAATAAAATTGAAACGTAATTGGTCTGTGACCTAAATATGTCTTTTTTGGGTTTTGTTATTGCTAAAGTATTAATGGCAGAATTAGTATTCATAGTTTCCTGATAGTTTTCATTTTCTTTTTGATCTTCTGCTCTTCTGTCTCCATTTTAAAAAGGCACATAAGGCAGAAAAGCAACCTTGGGAAGGATCTTAAAGGGAAAGAGAGTATAAAAGCAGTAGACAAGATGTTGGAGAATTTTCTCATTTTGTTTTTTAATGGGGTGTGTGGATAGTAGGTGTGTCCATGAAGGAACTTCAGTTTTGTATCAGTGAGTTGTCCTATTTTCAGTCCATTGAAGCTCTCTGGCCTCCCCTCATCCAGGAAGTTACAGATTTGGGGAATCTGTTCTCCTGTTGATGATGAAGATAGTCACTCAGTCGTGTCCAACATTTTGTGACCCCATGGACACATTTTGTAGTCTACCAGGCTCCCCTATACATGGAATTCTCCATGCAAGAATACTAGAGTCGGTTGTTATTTCCTTCTCCAGGGGGTCTTCCCGACCCGGGAATCGAACCCAAGTCTCTCACATTGCAGGCTGATTCTTTACCAACTGAGCCACCAGTGAAACCCCTATTTATGATAGCATTCAATTTTAATTCTTAAGATACCAGTCCTTTCTTACAAAGAGCTTCACTGCAGGGTTGGTAAGATGAGTAATAGAGACTGTCTTGGGTCATATGGATAACACCAGAAAATGACAGAAATAGAGAATACTTCAAAAAAAAAAAAGCATAAGATATTTGACTTGGAAGCAGTGCAGACCTAGAACAGGTACCATAAAAGTAAATCATTTAAATTAAAGAATAAAAGGTTAAGAGAAACTTGGTTAGTCTATATAGTATATTGTGATCTTTTTTAATGGTTTATTAATGTCATTCATTGTGTTATTTTCAGTTGGAAAGATGTTGGTAGCAGAACATGATTCAGCTGCATGCTGTGGTATCATTTAATGCATATAGCCTGAGTTGCGTGTCATGGTAGAGTTGATTGTGATTGTCAGGAGCCTTCCACAAGAATAATCTTTCTTATGCTCTTCAGGTTTTCACCTGATGGCAGGCTAATTGTATCATGCAGTGAGGATAAAACTATTAAAATCTGGGATACCACAAATAAGCAGTGTGTCAACAACTTCTCAGATTTCGTAGGGTAAGTCCATTTCTCTTTTTGAATTTTTATGGGTTAGTATGCTAAGGAGACATTTAATTGTTTACAATTCAAGTAGAGAAAGAGAAATTGAAATATGAGACCATCTTATTCCTCCCTCCCAGGTTTGCAAATTTTGTGGCTTTTAACCCTAATGGTACATGCATAGCTTCAGCAGGTTCTGACCATACTGTGAAAATCTGGGATATAAGAGTGAACAAGTTACTCCAGCATTATCAAGGTAAGGATTCCCGTAACAGAACTGAATTGTACAGTGAGCTGCTCTTACGCTGGCAGAGACTATTCTCAGTGTGGCTTGGCCCTGTTACTGAGTGTGATGGACTGCTCAGAGAAAAGTTAGCCGCCATCAACAGCGTGGTCCAAGGAGCTGGGGTAGGTGCCAGCCTGCAGAGGGAGGTGGATGGACCTTAAAAATGATGCCAGAGCTGTTAAAAAAAAAAAAAAAAAGGAAAAAGAAAATAAAAAAGTTACTATAAGATTTTCAGACTTTGGTTATCTGCTTTGTATAAGAATCCAGGATTAAAATTGACTCAGAAGGAGATACCTGAGCACAAATAGGTGTTATAACTGGCAGAAAACAACATCCTACTGTGCCTGTCTATTGAAGTTAAAAGAGAAATGAATTGATTTCTTAATGTATATTAGATTTATATTAAATCCAAATTTCCATTCCTTAATAAACATAATGTGGCAGACACTGTGCTAAGTTCTCACATCAGCCCTCAGAGGTATTACTGTTACTTCCACTTTAAAGGCAAGGAAATTGAGGCTGAAAGAGCCTATGTAACTTGCTAAAATATTGCTCAGACTGACATAGGTCTTTTCTGTTTACAAAGTACGCTTTTACAAAGTACAGTGATTAACAAACTTTTGATTGCTATGTTATACTGCCTCCTGTTGGAAGGATGGTGTCCAGAAATGAATTCTCAAACTGGCACGGGGCTGCCCTTCTCCAAAGACATCTCCATACTCTCCGCCTTGTCCCAAGCAACTAACTGGTTATTAAATTTAGTTTAAGGCTAGGATGTATACGTTACGTGAACTGGTGGTAGATAATGGTTATTTATATTGGCACTATATCCAAAGATTTTATAGTTAGGTAGTTAATAAAACCATCTTTCCTCGACAGATTCTCATTTGTAAAGTTTTTCTGTCTCATGAACTGGAAGCTTAAGCTGTTTGATGCCGCACTACTTATTTGTCTTAGTGAGCTATGTAGAGTTTTGGTGCTATGGAGACATTACCTCTAATTGATTCTTGCTTTCAACCTAATATTGCTAGTAGGGTAAAGGGGCATCTTTAGAATTAAGAATTATTCTCTGAATTTTTTGCTTTTATTTTCCACAAATCAGTTCACAGCGGTGGAGTTAATTGTCTGTCGTTCCATCCTTCGGGTAACTATCTCATCACTGCTTCTTCAGATGGTACGCTGAAGATCCTGGACCTCTTAGAAGGAAGGCTTATATACACACTTCAAGGACATACGGTGTGAACCCTAAGATATTTGCTTTAGCTCTGATCCACCTTATTATATGGCTGTATTACTTTCCCAAGTGTACTACACATGGCTGCTATTACAATTTTTTGTTTGTTTTTTTTGCTTGCAAGGCTGCGTTTTCATTCTCTGGAAGCAGCTCTTCGAAATATTATTGTAGTTCTTGTCAAAATCAATGTGTATCTTTCAATGGCCGGTAACGTAACCCTCCATGGCTGTCTTCCTCAGTATGTAGTGTGAGTCTGACTGGTTAAATGGTGACAGATACGTGTTTTTCTGACTTCTGCTCTTTCCCCTCACATGCCAGCTCTGACCCTCTCAGCCGCCCCACCCTTTCACTCTCGTCTTCCACTGAATTGATGGGTGAGTTTAGAAGGAGAAACTTGACAAGTCGAGCCTAATGCCCTCAGCTCTTAGGAGCCTGTGCTCATGGCTTTCCTCTGGCATTTCTTGTGGGGAGGCCAGCCCTTGTCCAGTCTTGCCTGTGACGGGGTACTCAAGTGTGACTCATTCTGGGTTTCAGGTCTAGAAAGCCTGTTTGCCCACAGATGAAGCCGTGTTCTCTCTTTACAAGCCCTTATCAGTAAGAAAGATAGTATTTCTTTGTCTTATTTTTTAATTAGTTTAGAAATTCAATGGGCAATTGGGGTGATGTTTATGGAGCCTGTTCACTCAGACACACATGCACATACTGATGTATAATATTCCAAAGGAAAACTTTTTTAAGTGTAAAAACTATTCTTCTTTTCTGGGTAAATGTTCAAACTTCTCTAAATTTTTTAGAATACATCCCCCCCCCCCCCTCTTTTTTTAAAATAAGATGTACTAGGTACTTCCTTTTAACCAAATAAAAGCGATTTATATCCAGAAATAGAATGGGCTTTGTGGTCTAGGGGAGAAGTTTTCTTTTTCTGTCTTCATGTATCCTGCTGGACTGCCTGTTGCTTCATCATTTGTTTCACAGCTGTGTTAGAGGGAAGCAGAAATAGACAATTAACCAGCTCAGATATATGTGTACCCCTGGATTTGGGCTGGATTAACAACCAATAAACGTGGCCATGGCTTAAAATATCCATGGAAGAATGACTGAGTACTGGAAAAAAAAGTAAATAAAATAATTTAGGAAAAAAGCACTATACACGAAGATGGAAATTTTCAGTCTGGAGGTGAAGGTATTTATGAGGTGTTAACCTGAGACTGTGGGCTGATCTACATGAAAGATATAAGAGGCTTTTCCCCATAAATTTTCATGTATAGATTCCGTTCAGTTCAGTTGCTCAGTTGTGTTTGGCTCTTTGCAAACCCATGGACTGCAACACCCCAGGCTTCCTTGTCCATCACAAACTCCTGGAGCTTACTCAGACTCATGTCCATTGAGTCAGTGATGCCATCCAACCATTTCATCCTCTGTCATCCCCTTCTCCTCCTGCCCTCAATCTTTCCCAGCATCAGGGTCTTTTCCAGTGAGTCACATCTTCGCATCAGGTGGCCAGAGTATTGAAGTTTCAGCTTCAGCATCAGTCCTCCCAATGAACACCCAGGACTGATCTCCTTTAGGATGGACTGGTTGGATCTCCTTGCAGTCCAAGGGACCCTCAAGAGTCTTCTCCAACACCACAGTTCAAAAGCATCAGTTCTTCGGTGCTCAGCTTTCTTTATAGTCCAACTCTCACATCCATACGTGACTACTGGAAAAACCATAGCTTTGACTAGACGGACCTTTGTTGGCAAAGTAATGTCTCTGCTTTTTAATAAACTGTCTAGGTTGGACATAGCTTGTCTTCCAAAGAGCAAGCGTCTTTTAATTTCATGGCTGCAGTCACCATCTGCAGTAATTTTGGAGCCCCCACAAAATAAAGTCTCTCACTGTTTCCATTGTATGGAATGGAACTTATTACTGACTTATTAAAAAACAAACAGTGTACTAGCATTTCTGAGATGAGAAATGAATCCTCTTGACTAAAAGCTGACCCAGAGGTCATTCTGTGACTGTGCCAAGAGCCGTCCAGCACCGCAGCAGTTGCTTACCACGCTCACTTTCCTGTTACCTCCCACCCTGATAACTGCAGTATACTTCCTAAGTGGCTTCCAACTGTTCGTTCAAACTCCAGCTCATCATTCTCACAGCCGTGGTATCAGTTGTCAGCAGTCCCAGCTCTTCTCCTCTCTGTGTCCTGCTCTGAGAACTTTACGTGGCTCGCTGTTGCCCCCGTGAACAACTCGGTGAAGCATGTGGGGTTCAGGAAGTGACTTCTCTTCCTACAGCCTCATTCCCATCACCTACAGGGTTATCATCCAGCTTCTGCTAGTGGTTTGTTGAATAAGATTCCAAAGCCAGAAAATTTTAACAGAAGAAATTCTTACTCAACTGACCTATGCACAAACTTCTTTAAAGGGAAGAAAACTATATTTTCTCATTTTTATTAGTATCTCTTTCTCAGTATTGTTTATAGATGTCTTCAGATAACTGAGTTGATGCTTTGATTCTCTTTGCCTACCTTGGTTGCTAGCAGCTGAATATGTCCTCAGACTTATTGCATAAATAGTCTGCACAAATTAGGATGAAAAATTAATACTCACAGCCTTCTTGGCCACGGAAACACATTATCAAATGCTTTTTTTCCTTTTATCTCCCTTTATTTCTTAGGGGCCTGTCTTCACTGTTTCATTTTCAAAAGGTGGAGAGCTGTTTACATCAGGAGGTGCAGATGCACAGGTTTGTAAAGCTCTCTGCTCCCTCTTTGATTTGATTAGGGGAAATGGAATCTGAGACCTCAGCTGAGATTTTTACAACCAGCTAGTTTGTCTATTTCAGATGATTATGAATGAATTTATGTTTTAGTTAGTGCCAGGGAATCTGCTATCTCATGGCTGAAATGGTGCCAGTTCTGATCATTTTAGGAATTCAAATAGCAGTTATTTTCTTTTGCTCATCTTTATACTTACTTACACATAAAACTGAGTGCCTAATATTGGTGTGGGCCTTTTCACTTGAATTGTTGCCTAATCTATTGTCTGTGTGTTTTATTTTTCAAATGTTGATTAAACTTCTTGAGTATGGTACATTTAAATTGTGACAAGTCTGTATTTATTTGAAACGACCAAAAGTCATTCAGAGCCACATTTATTGAATAAGGTGGACATAAAGAAAATTCAGAATATGAAATCTCTTCCTATTACCCTTTTAAAAAGTATTGAGATATAATTTTGTGGGAATATATATCTAGCCTTCCTAACTATTTTGAGAGCCTATTCTATATGTTCATTTTTTAAAAATTTCCTTCTACTACTTGTACTTGCAAATCAATAACTGCCAACCTGATTAATTTTTATAGGTCTTATTATGGAGGACTAACTTTGATGAACTGAATTATAAAGATATTAGTAAAAGAAACCTCAAAAGACTGCACTTTGATTCACCACCACATCTTCTCGATATCTACCCAAGGACACCACATCCGCATGAGGGAAGAATTGAAACTGTTGAAGTGAGTATTTAATGAATATTTGCCCTGCCATTTGTAAGTGTACACTTTGGGACTATTGGTGAACTATATGCTTGGAATTATACTTAATTATATAAAGCCTAGTCCTCCTTTAAAACAACAGCACTTTAAGAAACAATTATATTCACTAATAAAACTATAAATAGAGTAGTATGTAAAGTGCTAAAGCCTCATATTTGCAGCTTGAAGATTTAGAAATAAAACTTAAAAACTGTGATAATAATAATGGGAAATGAAGAATCAAATCTAAGGCCTCTGACTGTAAAGTCTGAGCTAGTTCGTGTTCTAGATGTGTTTAGGAAAGTTGTGTGATAGCTGTCATGAGAACAGCAGAAAGGCAAGAATTTTTAGAGCAATTATTGAAATGGGTATCTTGAAGCAAGTCTTAGGAACAGTAAGAAGAGATTTAAGCATTACACCTAGTAATTGAGACCATTTTACTATTTGCCAACATATATTTTCAAGTATATAATTGTCTATTTAGCTGTAAATTTGTCTTTGCTGGATACTTAGCTGGTATTAGTCTATTTCTTTCCATTTTGCATGATTCTTCTTAAGTTCTTTTTTCTCTCAGCAAGAGCTGAAATCAGGAATCACTATTGTCTGTTCATCTGAATTTTTTTCCCCCAATCATTGGCAGAATCTTTCTTTGTTTTTAGAGTAGATGTTTTGAATTTTTAAGATGTTATTCCTGAATGGCAGTTCCCAGCCACTTCGTGATTGTTGTTCAGGCTGTGGTTCGACTGCCTTCCAAATGGTTCCTGGGTCTCTCACCCGCCGCCAGCCCTTTAATTTTGGTTTCATAACTCTCGGTCTTTTGTCTTACCTCAGCTGTTTCTGTTAAGTCTCAGGGTTTGTGTGTGTGTGTACACTCAGTTGTAAGTTTCCAGAAAAAATTGATATCTTTGGACAGTTTTCTAGATTTTGTTTGATTTGGCCACATCATTGGGATTTCTTTCCTTGTTTTTCCATGGTAGTGTTTATTTTCAGTTCTTTGCTATAATTTTTGTCCTTTTCAACTTGCCACCATTTTTCCAGACCTTCTAAATAAAGTATTTTACCATTGTGCTTTACTTCATCTTTGTGCCATTTATTGTATTATCATTTCCTCACTTTTCTTTCTTTTTTTTTTAATCAATTATTTCAACATTTATTGTAAAATGTAATAATAGGATAATGTGTTGAAAATAAAAACATTCAGTTCAGTTCAGTTGCTTAGTTGTGTCCGACTCTTCGTGACCCCATGGACTGCATCATGCCACGCCTCCATGTCCATCACCAACTCCCAAAATTTACTCAAACTCATGTCCATTGAGTCAGTGTTGCCATCTAACTATCTCATCCTCTGTCATCCCCTTCTCCCCCTACCTTCAATCTTTTCCAGCATCAGGGTCTTTACCAATGAGTAAGTACTTCACATCAGGTGGCCAAAGGATTGGAGTTTCAGCTTCAGTATCAGTCCTTCCAATGAATATTCAGGACTGATTTCCTTTAGGATGGACTGGTTGGATCTCCTTGCTGTCCAAGAGACTCTCAAGAGTCTTCTCCAACACCATAGTTCAAAAGCATCAATTATTTGGCACTCAGCTTTCTTTATAGTCCAACTCTTACATCCATACATGACTACTGGAAAAACCATAGCTTTGACTAGACGGACCTTTGTTGGCAAAGTAATGTCTCTTCTTTTTAATATGCTGTCTAGGTTGGTCATAACTTTTCTTCCAAGAAGCAAGTGTCTTTTAATTTCATGGCTGCAGTCACCATCTGCAGTGATTTCGGAGCCCCCCAAAATAAAGTCTGTCACTGTTTCCATTGTTTTCCCATCTAATTTGCTATGAAGTGATGGGACCAGAAGCCATGATCTTAGTTTTCTGAATGTTGAGCTTTAAGCTAACTTTTTCACTCTCCTCTTTCACTTTCATCAAGAGGCTGTTTAGTTCTTCTTCGCTTTCTGCCATAAGTGGTGTCATCTGCATATCTGAGGTTATTGCTATTTCTCCCAGCAATCTTGATTCCAGCTTGTGCTTCATCCAGTCCAGCATTTCTCATGATGTACTCTTCTTCTAAGTTAATCAAGCAGGGTGACAATATACAGCCTTGACATACTCCTTTCCCAGTTTGGAACCAGTCTGTTGTTCCATGTCCAGTTCTAACTGTTGCTTCTTAACCTGCATACAGATTTCTCAGGAGGTAGGTCAGAACATTAAGTAAATGTAATATCATTCCCCTTTTTTTTTATTATATATTCCTAGACTCTACAAATATTTATTAAGTTCATACTATGTGTAAATACATGGTGGTATATGTTTTAGATCTTCAAAATGGATTGTAAGAAGTTCCATTTTCACCAGTATGATTAAATGGATACCTCCCACTAAAAACAACTACGAATGCTTGATAAACTGTAGTCATCTATGTATTTACATTTGGGTGGCTCATGGAATTTTATTCTACACAATAGATTGTATTCCATTGAAATCATCATTCCTTTTTAAAATACACTTTATACGTTTCTAACTGGAGGATAATTGCTTTACAGTGTTGTGTTGGTTTCTGCGATACAGCAGCGTGACTCAGCCTCCCTCCTACTTCCCTCATCCCACCCCTCCAGGTTGTCACAGAGCACCAAGCTGAACTTCCCACTGGCTGTTTTGCACATGGTACTGTGTATATGTCAGTGCTGCTCTTATCTGTGCACCTCCTCTTCTCCTTCCCCACCTATATCCACCAGTCTGTTCTCTATGTCAGAATCTCTATTTTTTCCCTGAAAATAAGTTCATCAGTACCACCTTTCTAGATTCCATTTATGTATGTTAACGTATGATATTTGTTTTTCTCTTGCTGAGACTTTACTCTGTACAACAGGCGCTTAGGTTCATCCACCTCACTCAATTCATTCCTTTTATGGCTGAATAATATTCCATCGTGGATATGTACCACAGCTTCTTTGTTGATTCATCTGTTGATGGACATCTAGCTTGCTTCAGTGTCCCGGCTATTGTAAATAGTGCTGCCATGAACACTGGGGTACATGTGTCTTTTTGAATTATGGTTTTCTCAGAGTAGATGCCCAGCAGTAGAATTGCTGGGTCATATGGTAGTTTTATTCCTCGTTTTTTAAGGCATCTTCATACTGCTCTCCATAGTGACTGTATCAATTTACATACCCATCAACATTGCAGGAGGATTTCCTTTTCTCCACATCCTCTCTAGCATTTACTGTTTGTAGATTTTTTGATGATGGCCATTCTGACCATCATGAGATGATACCTCAGTGTAATTTTGATTTGCATTTCTCTAATAATGGGCAATGTTGAACATCTTTTCATGTGTTTGTTGGCCATCTTTGGAGAAATGGCTTCTTTGGAGAAATGTTTGTTTAGGTGTTCCACCCGTTTTTTGACTGGGTTGTTTTTCTGATATTGAGCTGCTGTGACTGTTATTTTGGAGATTAATCTTTTGTCCGTTGCTTTGTTTGCAATTATTTTCTCTTTTGAGGGTTGTCTTTTCAGGATTGTTTCCTTAATTGCTCTTTCTGACTTTTTGTTGTTAATGTATAGGAATGCAAGGGATTTCTGTGTATTAATTTTGTATCCTGAGACTTTACTAAATTCATTGATTAGTTCTAGTAATTTTCTGGTGGCATCTTTAGAGTGTTCTGTGTATGTATCATGTCATTTGCAAACAGTGGGAGTTTTACTTCTTTACCAGTCTGGATTCCTTTTATTTCTTTTTTTTCTTTTTCTGTGATTGCCATGGCTAGGACTTCCAAAACAATACTAAATAATAGTGGCAAGAGTGGGCATCCTTGTCTTGTTCTTGATCTTAGAAGAAATGCTTTCACTCTTTCACCATTAAGAATGTTTGCTCTGGGTTTGTCATATATGGCCTTTATTATGTTGAGGTAGGTTCCTTCTATGCCTACTTTCTGGAGAGTTTTGATCATAAATGGGTATTGAATCTTGTTGGAACTTTTCCTACATCTATTGAAATGATCATATTATTTTTATATTTCAATTTTTTAATACAGTATATCACATTGATTGATTTGTGTATGTTAAAGAATCCTTGCATCCCTGGGATAAACCTCACTTGATCATGGTGTATGATCCTTTTAATGTGTTTGGATTCTGTTTGCTAGTATTTTGTTGAGGCTGGTTGTTCATCAGAGATATTGGCCCATAATTTTCTTTTTGTGAGATATCTTCAGTATTGATATCAGGGTGATGATGGCTTCTTATAATAAGTTTGGGAGTTTTCCTCCCTCTTTTGGAAGAGTTTGAGAAGGATAGGTATTAGCACTTCTCTAATATTTGACAGAATTTACTTGTGAAGACATCTGGCCCTAGGCTCCTGTTTGTTGGAAGATTTTTTTATCTCAGTTTCCATTTCAGTGCTTGTGATTGGTCTCTTCATATTTTCTATTTCTTCCTGGTTGAGTCTTGGAAGGTTTTACTTTTCTGAGAATTTGTCCGTTTCTTCCAGGTTGTCCATTTTATTGGCATATACTCACTTCTAGTAGTCTCTTGTCTGTTATGATCCTTTGTATTTCTGGTTGTCTGTTGTAACTTCTCTGTTTTCATTTCTAATTTTATTGAATTAAGTCACCTTTTTTTCTTGATGAGTCTGGTTAAAGATTTATCAGTTTATTTTTTACTTAAAGTTTATCTTTTCAAAGGACGAACTTTTAGTTTTATTCATCTTTGCATTTGTTTTATTTGTCTCTATTTCATTTATTTCTACTCTGATCTTTGTGTTTCTGTCCTTCTACTAACTTTGGAGTTTTTGTTCTTCTTTTTCTAGTTGCTTTAGGTGTAAGGTTAGGTTGTTTATTTGATATTTTTCTTGATTTTTGAGGTAGGTTCATATTGCTATGAACTTCCCTCTTAGCACTGTTTTTTACTGCATCCCATAGGTTTTGAGTTGTTGTGTTTTCATTGTCATTTGTTTCTAGGTATTTTTTTGTTTCCTCTTTGATTTCT